ACCCTCATACCGGACTCAGAGGAACTTTGTCTTAGAAAACCTTGTCTGAGAATCAGGTAAATTTGGTAATGGCCCTATTGAGAAACCAGGGTACAATGCACCGATCACCCCGGGACATTCAAAATCGGGCACAACATCTCCTGTGTTACTGTACCGCGTCGTACTGTACCGTCTTCCTTGGTTCTGCGTGCTTGTGCACCACCCAGGACCCTCCAGTCCTAGAGCAAGACCCCACTGCGTCGTGTGACGTATGTGCACGGACCCAAGCAAAGTCCCTGCCACCAAGATTGTCCCATCTAGGTAGCAGGGGACCAACAGGACAATGATGAGGCGGTTGTGGTCAGCGTACCAGACCGTTGTGTTGGCACACCAGCGGTCAGCAAGCTTTTGGGGCACCAGGGCCCAGTGACCAGTTTTCCACACTGCCGGGGAAGGAGGAATCCTGCAGCGTTTTCTCACATGTACAATATTTTTTCGCTGTTCCCTTTGGAAGGCCAGTTGGAGCGTTAACAATCTCCCGAGCGGGTTTGCTTCTCTGGCACCACCACCATGGCTCTCTGCATATCCCGAGTGTTTTTCAGAGGGAGTAGGCTTCATTCTGCTTACCAATTAGCTCTTGTGAAAAATCCCAGTGGTCAGCAATGGAGAGCTGGCTGACAGATGGAGGAGCATATTGCCAGAGATGTGGCAGCACTTGCCAGCTGAGCCAGGCATCTTGGAGCAGGGGTGGTGCCAGTTGTTGGGGGGGGCAATTTTTCATGTTAAGAAAACCCGGAGGCAAGGTTGTTTGCAAAGCCATGTAAACTCTTGTTCATTGTTAGTGATGAGATGTAATAAGCTGACTTGGTCATTAGCCACCTGTGCTTGGATGAGTAGAGCCCAGTCATTTGTATTAAACCCAGGTCGCGTTAAACTCTCTTATTTGGATTAACATTTCAGATTAATATATCGAGGCACTTGGTTACTTACCACTTAAACTCTCGCAACCTCGAAGCTTGTGACCGGCCCAGATTCTCACTGATCTGTGCATGGTTACTCACCGCAAACTGCTGGACCTGCAAAGGGCCCGGGATGGGTTTGTACAGCACAGAGCACTTGCTGTTTTCTTACTGCTCTCTCCCTGCCCTAAGGAAAAGCAGCAAAAGCTAGCTCTGCTCTCTGCACCAAGTGGCATCAGGGTTGAGGGTGTCAAGGCGGCAGGATTAAGGCATCTTTGGCTTGTGCGGGCATTTTCCCACCATCTTTCCATTAGGGTCGCAAGCAAAGAGGAAGCCATTCCCATAGATGTGCGTTCTGCACAAAAGCATTGCCAGAGCCGAGATGGTGACCAGTCTGTGTCAAGGAAGAAAGGGTCTGAGTCAGAATAGTGTCAAACCATCCCCTCCTGGGAAAGGGCAGCTTACCAGAGCGGTCTCCTAGTGCCCGTTTCCTTGGGCTTTGCCATGCCCCCACGCAGCAGCCATGCAAAACGGTTTTCCAGCAGCTGATTGTGTTCTTTCTCCAACTCTGCTCCTCTTTCAGATTTGCGCCGTTTGCCTGGAGGAGTTCAAGCCCAAAGACGAGCTGGGAATCTGTCCATGTAAACATGCCTTCCACAGAAAGTAAGTGCTGAGCTACCGATCAGTGTAGAAGATCAAAGTGTATTTACAAAAGCCTTGCAAGTCTCTTGGAAACCCCGGAAGCACTAAGCAATTGACAGCTTCTGAATTACAAAGGCTTATATTGTATACACTTGGCTGTCCCCCATTTGAAAGGATTAGCAGAACTCTACTCCTCTTTAGTCAGTCTGATTTATGGCATTAAGTTGAGCGGCAATTGCTAAATCATGCCGTAACGAGGGGGTGGGGAGGGCTGCCTTGTGACGCTGCCCTGCTCTGAAGGAGAGGGCTGCCTTGTCATCGGTGCCCCTGCATTTGGAGGTTTAGGGCTCTAGATCGGCTTTGGCAGCTCCATGCATACGTGCAGCTCTGTGCCGTTAGCCATGCAAAAGCTGCAGCAGGCTGGATAGACGAGTCCCTGGGCCTGGCTGCAGTGTCGAGAGCTATAAACCGAGATGCGTGGCCAGAGGAGGGTTGTTAATGCCGGACTCCAGCAAGCGAGCCTTCCAGGGGAGCTGGAGCGGAAGCAGGGCGCTTGGCAGGCATGAATGCGAGGCTTTTCAAACCATATGGGGAGCATGAAGTGCGGAAACAAAGGGAGCTTTCAAGAGCAGCCTGGGTACGAGGAAGGAGGCAGAGGTGAGAGCAGAGGTGTGCAAATGACCCGTGGAGGGAGCCCGGCCGCAGGGGAGGTGGGACCAGAGTGGCTGCAAAAAAAAGCCCGCTTGGCAGTAACCTTTTGGCAGGCCAGAGTGGGTAGTGGATGGCCCAGGGGGGCCACAGCGGAGGCGGCTTCAGTGTAAGGAGATGGAGAGACCAAATGGTGGGGGTAGAGGGACTAGCCACTTGCATGGAAAGTAGCCAAAGTCTGTATTTAGTGTCAGGGCAACTTATCTTGCAGGGGAGAGGGCAGGGTTGGTTGGCCGGCCGCCCAGTCCTATTTCAGTCACCTTCACCTCTCCCCGGGCTGGAGCCAGGCCAGCCAGCTCTCAGAAACCACTGGACTGCAACGCTCCAGTCGTGGTGACCACAGGTTCCTCCCACATGAGCGTGCTGCATCGCACCACCATCGATGCGTGTCGGCGTCAACAAGCATATTCCCCGGCCCCGCTGGCGGTCCTGCCGAGCGACTCCATGTGCTAACTCAGCTCCCAAAATGCCTGCGAGCTCTGGGCCTGCCCCCCTGTGCTTCCTCCTCTCCTCCGGCAGGAGCCGGTGCAGTGCTGGGTCCTGCGGATGCATGGGCAGCAGGATTGCACTCCCTGCCCAGGCAGAGACTGTCTTTTCATTGCAACTCAAACGTGGGTGTAATGGAGTCGAGACTTTCCTCCCTCCGCCTGGACTTTTCTCCATGCCAAGGTGTTCAGCATACTGTACAGCTTTGCAGGGCCAGAGTAGTTTTAGCTTCAGATTCCTGTTTTGTTGAGCCTGTTCTTCAAAAGAGAGGAGTGCTGCAGAAGTGGGAGCGTCCCCGGAGAGGATCCTAGTGGCACTGTGATTGTCATTCATCACACAGGTGGCTGGAGGGACGGTTCCTTTGTAGCACATAACTTTTTCTGCATCCACCAGTTTTGCTAACAATAGCGGGAAGGGAAAGGTATTTAAAAGTTCTTTGGCGAGAGCTTTTATGGCCCGTTCCAGTAATGAGATTGTGTAACTTTTTTTAAAAATTATTTTCCTACCATACAAATGCCTGTTTGTATGAAACTGCCTGAAAAGCGATGCAAAGCGAGGCTTTCGGATGAACTAAAAAAATGTGCCCTATCAGCCAAAAATGGAGAAAGCGTGATTCCGATGGGTAAAGAGGAGAGGGGAAGTCTGGGGTCCTTGCAGGTCACCTCTGCATTTCTTTCGCTTTCAGGGGCAGCATTAAGGGGATCTGATGCTCTGGAAGGGCTGGGGCATCCTCAAAGGAAAGGTGCGTTGAAGCACATGGCCAAGTACAGTATAAATGACCTCTGCCCTCTTTCCTTCCTCCCCAGGTGCCTCATCAAGTGGTTGGAGGTGCGAAAAGTGTGCCCGCTTTGCAACATGCCCGTGCTCCAGCTGGCGCAGCTCCACAGTAAGCAGGACCACGGGCCCCCCCAAGGCCCCCTGCCTGGGGCGGAGAACATTGTATAGCTTTCCCCAAGAAACAGACTTGCCCATCACGACCGATACTGCCAGGGTAACAACAACGGACCTATGCAGAGAATCGCGGATCTCGGGATCCGTAGCTTACCGCCTCGGTGCCTCTGCTAGGATTCCCTTTGTCTCATGAGGGCCTCCCAACACGCACTTCGGGGGGGTGGGGCCAGATGCTGGGACTCGAAAACAACCAAAGTACTATGCCACCGGCGCACAAAGACGCCAGAAGGCAGCAGCAGGCCGGTGGGGGTGGGTTTCTGAGAGCACTTTATGACTGTCCCCGTCGCCTGGATGACCTGCCTAGGCCGGGTCCCTGTTTCCAGCGAGCTGAATCTACGGCGGATGGAGCAGAAGGGATCGCGTTACAAATACAACGGGAGAGCTCAAGGGGCAGAGTCCCTGGCAGCACGGCCCGGGAGCCTCGAATGGCAGATTCGATACAGGCCATGCACGCCTTCTCGTCTCGCATGGGGAAGAGTAAATGCACACACTTCACGAGCCCCTTTGAAACGCGCCTCCCCGCAGCCAAACCCAGCTAGTGGTTACCTCCTGCTGAACTGCCGGCGGCTGGCAAACCGAGCAATGCCAAGGCAAAGGTTTTACATCGTTCCTGTAATGAGATTTTCCCTGAGTCATGGACTTAAGCAGGACCTCTGACACGGTCCTATAAGCCCGGGGCGGGGGAAATGGTGCAGTCTGCCAGGAGCCTCAGAGGGGGCTTAAGTGTGCCACCCCGGGCTAACGAAGTCTGAGAGGAGGCTTTGCAAGCTTTGGGCTGGATATGTCGCATCAAAGAACTGAGTGCGAGGTGCAGGCATGGCTGGGTTTGAGGTGTTGGCCAGCTAAAAATCTGGAGCCTTCTGTTTTGGAGATCAACACGTATGTGCCCGTGCATTGGATCTGCTCTTGAACTGCCCCCTGGGTGGGGAGTCCCTCATCCCTCCTCCCAAGCAGTGGCATGGTGGGTAGTAGGGGTTGCAATGTAAAATTGATAGTAAGCCAGCTTGGGGTACAAGCACTTACTGCTCCCTCCACAGCACCTGCATGCATGTCCTCGCCCCTGCAGTACAAAGCCCAAACATGCCTGAGTCCCTGCACTTGTACGAAGGTCCCTGCCCTTTGCGTCCGAGCGGGCTGAGCCGGTCGCCATTACAGCGTTGCTTTCTCTGGTCTGTGCGCTCAGCCAGCTAAACCTGAGCAGCTGAGACGTGGGGGTGAGCACGCCCAGCTCTGGTCGCTTTTGCAGAGCTCCTGCCCTCGGGCTGATTCTGCCCTTTGCTGCCCCGTGTCTGCCGAAGCACGGAGCAGTACCATCATCCCAGGGCGCAGCGCACTGGGTGTTTAGCTGGAGCGGGTTTGAGCAGGGTGGCGTTATGGTTCCCAGACCCATTTTCAGCATGGCTCAGTCCGTAGGCTAGCGAGATTCGTCGCTGCGCCTGTTTGGAGTGGCCAAGGCACCAATGGACCAGAGGGACAATTCTTCTAGGGATGTAGTCAGCCACTACGTTACACGTGCGTTTGACTTGTCCCCTTGTCTGTAATGGGACAGCTCTTTCTCCTCCTTTCTCACCCTTATGTGCTGGCATCCTGCTGGCACGTGGCTGTATCAGGGTGTCACCGCTGTTCCCATTCAGGACCAGCGTTCTGGCCCTGTAACAGTGCTTTTAGGCTCCGTGACTCCCCCCGCCCCAATCTGTTGCCTTTTGCAACCGCACTGAACTACCCGGAGCCTTTCAGGCTTGTGCACGTTGCCTCGGCGTTTCTAATCTGTACCTTGGTGACGTGTCAGGGCAGAAGAGGCATCACGATGCTTGTCCGGGGGCTCCTGCTGAGGCTACGTCCTCGAGAGCAGCAGGGCAGGCCGGGGCTACGGCTTCCTTTCCGCCGTTGGCAGCTTGGCAGTACAACCGTGCCTGAGAAGAGCTTGCCTGGAGTCTGAGCCAGGCACGGTTGGTGAAGGCTCCGGCCCACGCCCCATTGCACTCACTGACCTGCCTCAAGCTCTGATCTTTCCAGCTAGCACACGAGGTCCCACCGTACCTATGAAATAAGGGACGTCTGTAGAGACCTGAATAGCAAACCTCCGGGATGCTGCACCCAGTCCTACTGCCAGTGGGAAGTTTTCACCATCGATTTTGTTTTAGTGGGATCTGGTGCAGACAGGCCCAATGATCCCTCCAGTCTGCTTTTGTTGTGTTGTCCCATAGCTGCTTTCCTTTCTATTGAGTCATTCACAGAAATCCACCTCCCCAGGCGGGAGACAATTGGGTATCTGCAAAACATGACCCCCAGCAAACCCGCAGTGTGATACGGAGGTTTGTGTTTGAACAACTAATCATGTAAGTGTTGACCCAGGCTGAGTCAGCAGCCTCCCTGGACTCACCTGACCGAGGCTGGGTTTCGGTTTGATTTCCGGTACAGCTGCCTTTTGTGTTCCTGTTTCATTCATGAAGAAAGCATGTGATCCCATTACGGTTGCATGTTAGGAACGGCACCAAAGGGGTGGTGGTGTTCCCCTGACAACTGGGAAAAGTCTCCAAACTCCTCTGAATATTTCAGGCTGTTGGCACCACAGGCTCTTCCTCGTCATAGTGGAAGCGGCTTGCCGACCAGGCCCCGACGGCACCTGGGGGAGCGTGACCAAGAGTTGACGCATCTCCATGTCCGTGGCTGAATTGGGAAGCAACTGTGAATTCCTGGTCCATCAAAGGTGGCAGCGCCCAGAGGAGAGGACTTGCAGCCTCTCCTCTGTGTGCCAGGAGTTCGCTGGGTCAGCGCTCAGTGTCCCTTTGGTGGCTTCGTTGGTCGGTAATAGCGGGGATTCAGCTCCACGTCAGGATGGGAATCTGCTCTAGCTCTGCAGTGTGAAAGTCAAGGCCACCTGTTGCCTCTGTGGAGTGGCCTCTGACTTGGTGACTCCTCTCCCTTTGCATCAAATCTCCGTGTCCCCAGGCACTCTGCCTGAGCAAGAGGACTAGATTGAATGGTCCTGGTAGGCACCTGTGCTCTCACCCCCTTCTTAAAACAAAAGCCCCAGTCATATGACGGCATGCCGGTTTTCTGGCGCACCGTCTGCTCTGAGCACATGGCATTTCATCGCCAGGGTGAAACATTTTTTCCCTAAATCCCTTGGAACTAAAATTTAGGAATAAACTCTTCCAGTTCTGCGTGCAACATCAAGCTGCAAGTAAACGTCAGGCAATGCGATACGGCAGCCAAATCCTGCGGTATGTCTAAAACCCACAGGGGGGCTTTCATACCCTTCTGCAGAGCTGGACGGAGCTGGTGTCACTTGACACGTCCTTTGGATCGAGCGGTGGGATTCATGGCACATGCCCGCACGTGCTGTTCTGCTCGGCTTGGTTTAACGAGTGCGTATGCTCTGCCTGCTGCTTTATCCACTTGACATCACCAAAACAGTCACCTCCCACTCCTCTCGCCACCAACTGCTGTCTCAAAGGCCCAGTGGAGTGAGGGGTCTTGTTTTCTTTCGAAGGGCTGTTGCAGAAACTGAGATTTCATCCTTCCCCTTTGTAATCCATGTATAGCCATCGAGACGTCACTCAGGGTGGACTTGCTGAGTTTTATTAAGGTAGTTTGACAGTCCCACTCTGCAGCCTCTCTGACTGGCACGATGCACCGTGTTGTTCTGCTATCTGCAGAGCAGCCGACTACCTCAAGCGGACCGTTTCATCTCGTAAGCAGCGGTGGTGCTGCGCGTGTGGCTGTTTTACACCTCCCTCCAGGAACGTGCGGGGGCTCTGCGTCCTCGCCAGTGGGCAAAGCCAATTATTTTTCGGAGCATTCAGCAGTATCCATGCCTGGCTTTGGTCCAGTCCTGTGAATGGATGGCTTGAGCATCTTCATGATTGGATCCAGCAGGAGTGGATCTCTGTACCTTTGAGACATCATCTTGAGATGCTGAACCGGGAACATGGCTGGGATCAAGCTAAAATTTCCAGGAAACTCGTTGCTTTCGGTGAATATTTGTCCTTGGGTCCTTTTTACAAGTGCTTCCTTGAAGAACCAGGCTCCCCTTCCACTTAATGGACTCGGTGGATGACTCTGATCTCTCAGGGTCAGACCCTTAAACTACAAATGAGTGCTTCATTTGTGCTGGAAGAAACCATTTTGTCCCAGGACAAAGTGCAGTCGTTCAGACATCTGTGTTCATTGTCCCGGGGCAAACCCTAAAAGGGTTTCCAGGATAAGGAATGCTAATAGTTTGTCCCAAGGTATCACAAAATGCGGCCAGACGGTTATCCCAGGATTGCATCATTAAACCAGGACAGAAAAGCAGCAGTGCATTCAGCTGCTTACGAAACCTTGATTGGAAGGGCAATGCATGTACAGTCCTGTTCCAGGACAAATGCAGGCACAAGTTATCCCAGGACAAATGCAACATCTGTTCCTATGCCCATCCACCCAGGGGATGAAAGCAAAATCCCTTCTCACAAATCCAGCCATGAGTTGGGTTTCTCACTTGGATCTTAAGTAGGACAAGAGAAAGCCGTCTCTGCTCATGGGTATTCCTCACTAACTTGATATCCTCTCCCAAGTGCATGGTCGGTGCAAATTTGTTCCCACTAGTAGCATGGACAGGTGCTGTCAGCACAGCCGAGCTGTGCGTGTCACAAGGGGATGTCAACACTGTGCTGTAGAAGCCAAACCTCCCAGTAGCAAAGACCATCCCAGTGCCATTATATTTGAAGTGATACACTCTCTTACGTGCCTATGTCTTGTGTGTCCTTCAGTTGTAACTATTGCCTTGCTCTGTTGGAGAAAGTGAAGCAACTTTCAGCCAACCTGTAAAATAGGAAACACTCTCTCAAGAGGCCTGTGCATTAAGTGGCTGCCCTCAGTCACGTTGCATGGACCCACTGGCCTAACGCGTTGGTGGTGGTGGTGGATTGTGAAGCTTGGTTAGAGTTCCTTCCCCTTGTCCAGGGCAGAGCTGCAGCACCGGGCTCTGCATCCCTTTCCTGGCTGGGCACGTCTCCTCAAACCTCCTTACAGGGTTAACCCTGGCTCCTGTCACCTCCTCTGGCTTCTGGGTGATCTCAGCATCCTGCTGCCTGCCCTGCTGATGGATGACCCATCCGGTCTCTCTCTCAGCAATGGAAATTGGGATTAGCTCCATGAAAGCCAATGGGTTTGCACCCTTTTGAGATCAGACTCCAGCTCAGCATGTCTGGGAATCGCTCGTATTTTATATAATGCCCATGAAATGTAAAAGACAGAGAGAGATGACTTGGGTACAAATGACAGGGACAGGCTATTTCCTGAATTTTGCTCTATTTTTGCCAGTATTTACAAGTCTCATTGCCTATTTCCAAGGGTGTTAGAAAAGGGCCGTTGAGTATTATTACACTGTACACGCTTTTCTAACGGCAGAGTAGACTGTTCTTCCCAATCCTTTTAGAAGCGGGGGCGTAAAATTTCTGATAACAAATTGGTCTGTGTAATTCGGTAGCAACAATTGTGACCGGTCTGTAGGCTAGAGGTAGTTCATGTGCTTAGGCCCTCAAGGCTTTGGGGGGTGTATGTGTGTGTGTGTGTGTGTGTGTATATATATGTATGTGTATATATATATATATGTATGTGTATATATATATATATGTATGTGTATATATACATATATGTATGTATATGTCTCCCCTCCTTCCATGTAAATATTGTGTGAATCCTAAGAAGGTTTATGGAGCTTGGACGCCTCATAGACATGTTTGTACACTAAGAATTCTGCAGCAGAATATTTTTTAAAACATTCGCTGTTTTTTTTGTAAGCTATATTTTTGTATATTTAATTGCTATTTTAAAATTCTAATGCATCTTTTTTGCTAATCACACTATTCTTAAGGGGGAAAAAACCGTTTGCATGTGATTGGACTTGAACTGTAAATAAATGCAGATTTTGGAAACAGCGTCGTGTTGGGCAGTCGTGTGCTCCCGTCCCTCATCCGAGCCCCAGAAACCTCAAGGGGATGTGGATGGAGTGCATTGTGGATACAATGCTGAGCAGTCATGGCCTTCTGGACCTTGATGGACTGCTGCAGCGTAGCCCAGCCATTCGTGATCTCCCCTCGGTGGATCTTCAGGCAAGCAAGCACCAGCATCCCGGTCTTTTAGACGTGGTACGAGTGAGCGACTCATCTGGGGTCGTCCAAAAGAGGCAGAGGCAGAGTGGACCCAGCTCCCCGCCCTCTGTCTTGTTCACTGTACTGCTATACACCCAGCTAGGGTTATTTGCTTTAGGTCACCGAGACCCTGAATCCTCATTCAACCTCTTGCACTGCAAGCCGAGTAAAAACCTAACACAGTGGTTTTCCACCTTCTTTCGTTTGCGGACCCCTAAAATATTTTGAATGGAGGCATGGGCCCTTTGAATTTTAAGTGTGGGTATTCACATATTTTTGGTTGACCATAGTCATCTTTCACGGACCCTTGAGACAGTTGAAAACCACTGCCTGAGAGTCTTGTGGTGGGCGTAGTGTTCGTAGCAGCCACAGTGCTCCAGGGTGATCCGGACTGCCAGAGATACCAAGCACCCAGTTATCTCGGACGCAGCTCAGAGCTTTGTGCTGTTGTGGTGCTTTTGGAAATCAAGCTGTACCTGCCCTCTTGCCTAAGCTTGCGCTATGCCCCACCACGTCAAAGATGACTTCCTATGTTGCTTTCATTCTGGGTTCGATCCCAGCAGGGCTACCCCTGCCCCCTTCTCCCCTCCCTGTCCATCCAGCGTATAGCCAGAACAATGCTCCTAGCCACATGCAAAGTGTTTTTACTGTCCAACAGGAGTGCCATGAGCTCAAATTATTCTGCTTCCATTGAAGTAGCTGCTGCCAACCTGGGGGAGCTTCCTGCACAAGGATGCAAGGTGGTGTCTGCACTAAA